AACCCGTTGGTGAGCAACTTTTTCTGCTGCATCTTGGTCGTCGACTTACTCGGTTATCAGGCTCTCAACTTGTATTAAGTGTGGTTGATGCGAATGGGAGTGCTGGAGGTATTCCGCCGCGTATTTTGAATGTCATCCGTGAGTGAATTCGGTTCCATATCTCCAAACCAAAATTGATGTTCCGGAAGCCGGTTCTACCACACAATGCGTTAATACCCCACTGTTGACGCCTGAATTCAAGGTGACCGCAAATGTTACGGGTAACCTGCAAACCTGCCAGCCTTGGGGATTCACTGTGAAGGGTGGTGTTCCACCTTATACGATAACTCTCGCTCAACCCAATTCGCCGGTCGTAACGAACGTTACACTGCCTTTCGGAGACGATAGCTTTACCTACATCAACCGTGCAAACCCTGGTGGCCAGCTTATCGGTAGGTCCAAATTTATCCTCTTTGTCTGATTGATGTGTAGTTACTGAAGCCCTCCGCTAATAATGCAAATAGGCGCAATCAGTGACTTGTGAGTGCTAGAATCAACTCGTTGCTACATACCACTTCATCTCACTTTCATTAACAGCACAGGACGTTGGGCCACCGGAACGCCGATCGCTAACACGCAAGGTGATTGACAGGTTTCGTTGTCTGTGTCTTGACATTAACAAGACGCCGTCTCACAGGGTCTTCCGATGTCTCTTGCGTGGGACTAGTCAGCTCCAGCGGCAATGCAACTCTAATTCAACAAGAGGATAATGCCGCAAATACAGCTGCATCAGCATCAAGACGACGGAGATCAACCGCCATTGGAGTCTCCGTCACATTGGTTCTCCTTCTCCTGATCGGTCTGGGTGTTGCTGCATTCCTCTACGTACGAAGACGACAACAACGGGATAGAGCAGAGCTAATTGCGGCTGCTCCGCGCCAATTCGTCGAGATCGGAGGGCAGCTACCTTCCGTCAGCAACGACCCGGAGTCCTCAATAAGTCGATCCGAACCGGTAAACCAACCGGCGTTGAGCAAAGCAGCGCTGGTATCTTCACAGAACAGCTATCGCAGTCCTCCTTCTCCTTCCACCTCTTCCTCGACCGCTGGTTTATCTTATTACCCCAGCATTCTTGCATCTACCGCTCGAGAGGGGACAGCTAACAGTGAGATCCAATCGCAAGCTTCCAGCGGCCGTGTGTCCCGCCCAGGCTTCACCAAGTTCCCAGCGTCTTCGATTCGGCGTTCAGCGAAAGCGCTTGAAGCTGGAGTCCTGTCGACGCGCTCACCGGATTCTGAGTATCCGGAAACTGCTGTCTCGGACAATAGTAACGTGCTGGGGAGGCAACCATCTGCTATATCATCCACCAGAACTGGTGCCGTGGGCCGTGGGCTGACGCCAGTCGAAACAGTAGAAGAGGAAGCTGAGGCCGTATACCAACACCAAGACGCGGGTGTTGTTCGAGAATTGCCGCCACCATATGCTGATCGAGGTGGACCTGGACGTCCATCTTCGTAATTTTTTTTACTTCCAATTTCTATACATGTTATTCTCTTTCTATTGGTGTATTATGGGTCTACGACGAATTAAGTCGCATTATATGTAACAGGAACTAGTTTCGTCTTATGAAGCTCACGGGTGGGCTGAATCCAGTCTTTTTCTGCTGAGTTGCTATGCCCGATGCTTTATCCTCCTAGACGCTTATAATGATTGAACAGCAACCGTCATGTATCAAACAATTTGATTCGATAACGTCTAAAGAGAAGACATCCTTTCCAATCATGAGAAAGATCGAGAAAAATACATCTATATTCTAAAACGACATGGGTTCTCACGGGGGGGATAAATCGGGCGCGGCTCATTGGCTAGAGACAAAGACAAAAACTCATTGGCTAAGGCTTGGGCTTACAGAGATCTGTGGCGAGGCATGGGCACGTGACTCATCGATGGTCCTGGCCTGCTCTCGGCCCTCACTCTAGATGTTACCATTGGCTTACAACTTGCACAACTCTTTCACCGTGCAAAGCACGGGTCCACAGTCTAGTATATGTACAATCAGACAGTCGACAGCACCAAAACCCTCCCCTTCCACCCCAGCTGGTCAACAGTCTCTCAGACCCAGGCCTCAGGCCTAGGCGACTGCGATCCCCGACGGCGTCTCATGAGCAATTTCCCTCCAAACGAGCCCACTCCTTTCATAATCATGGCTATCCCCTCTATGATCATCCCGCAAGCGTAGAGCCCCATTCCCGCGAAGGCTATGGGCGTGGTAAGAAGGATGAAAAATCCTCGAACGATGTCATCCAGGACGCTTCTGTTCTCTTCACGAATGGCCCCGAATAAATCTGGCATACGCCAATTGCGTCTGGCCGGCGGCGTCGTGTCGGCAATCGAGCCGTCGTCGGGTGCGAGCTGGATTGGGGATAACCCTCTGGGCGCCGGCGCCAAGTCAAGAGGAGCGTTATCTGGTTCGCGTTTATCTTCCGCGGCGTCATGCGCGAGCAGCGGCTGGGTTTCGGGTTCGTGCAGCCAAAGCTCTTCAGAGTGGATGGGGGCAATCGCGGGAAGGGTTGCGGGTGCCATCGCCATCTTGTAGATATAGCAACTTGAAGCCTGTTATTTAAACGTCAAGGCTAGATGGCCTCAGATAAAGAAACACCCTCACAGAAAGACGGTCAGAGATCAAAAGAGGGGGTGGAAAGGCAATCTACAGGTGTTAGATATTTCGGGCTACTATTTATTCTTTTTGTCAGACTCAAAGCGTCAGTCATCAAACTAATTCTCCTCGTTCCGCAGCGATCTACACCCTGTAACACTTTGTTTTGAGCCAGGATAAGGGAAATAAAGGGTAGTTCCTACGCTGCTTTTATCGATGCGCAGTCTGTCAAGACTTCAGAACACACTTTATCTTTGGCGACTATGAGCCGAGACGGCCTTCTCAGCCCGCAATGAGAAGGTTCACCCTCGGACACGATGCCGGAAGCCTGAAGTCAGTAGGTCGAGGCTTTGCGAAAGACTTCGAAGGAATGGAGAAGATAATAAATCATTTTATTTTATATCTTAGCTCACCTTCCATGTACGAACAAGATAAGTCGAGTCATCAAACACGCCGTGCTGCTAATTATGTCCTTAAATTTATATGCCCTCTGCGTAAAATACTCAGCAAATTCCATTAATTATTTGCCCGTGGCTCCAATATTTAACTCGGAACGCCCGGATTAGCCAAAGAGCACGGATGATTGACGGGCGCTTATTTCTTGCAGTGCGATTTAATGCAGCTTTTCTACTGACAAGAATAGTCTTTATATCTCTCCCTTAACTTGAATTGACTATCGGAGCGTGTTCGAATTAAACATAAAGCCGCATTGTCATTCAATGCCCCAATGACAATTGCAATGCTATGTTCTTGGCGACCGCCATGGGTAAAGATCCCCGCAATCTATAAATAGACCCAGAAGCTCCAGGGAGGCTTGCTTCGCCCAACGATTGACGATAACACCTCCACCCAAATCGTAATCTTACAGTACACTACCGCAGTCATTTAGTCACGCTCAACCACTAGAATGGACCATAATGGGCTATAATTACAACACTGCCGGTGGATAGATGTACAAAGAACTAGAGCAGATGAGATCATGGACGTCGGTGATGGAATAGGGTACACGCAGTATTTATCTCGATACTTCCTTGCAGTTTCAAACGCAGAATTAAATAGGCCCGGTGAATTTCTTGGGTTTTGCACGCACTGCGGTAGAAAGTGGGAGCTTTCCGAGCGAGCCGATACCCTTCAAGATTGTACCCGTGCCCTCTGCGATCAACCCACAGGCGTAAACCCCCATCCCCGCCACTGCAAGCGGCGTCCCCAGTATTAATAAAAGCCCACGCCCCATCTGTTTTGCGGGGTTCTCTCTGACATTGTCCTCGTGCGAGTCAGGGAATGCGGCATACAAGTCCGCATCCATCTTCGAGCCCCACTTTGAACCTCGTTTGAGTTTCTTCGGTTTCTCGGGCGCAGGGGGAGGGCCGACGACGTTAGTCGGCATAACATCTGACTGAGGCTCCGTTCTCGCAAAGCGGAGAGCTGAGGCTACTCGTGCAGCTGCGTCGTTGATCTCGTTTTGTGGGGCTCCTCTCGCGATAAGTTCGCGGTATGCCGCTAGTTCCCTTTCGAGAACATCGAGAGAATCACTCCATTGCTCATCCCCCCGGAGGGTTTCCGATCCAGTGTAGGTTGGCGTTAAAACTCCCATCCTTTGAATAGTCTAATCGTTCAACGTTAGATGAAACGGAAAACGAAAGAGGACAGTTTTCGTACGAAGGGTGATCAAGGAACGAAGAATGACTATCAGAACCCCTCCGCAGAGATGGGTCCCTTTTTATGATCTCTCGCCATGAGGAGACAGAAGGATATCCCATTTCTGGCTGGTTCAAACTTCCTTTGTGCGCAGCTCGTCACTAATACCATAACCCGTGTACACGGCCTTTTGAGCCCATGGAGAGAAATATGAACAAAAAGAGTAGCTGAATTTCATCCTCGTGCTGATTGCGCGACTGACAGACCTGCTACTTATGCCTTCTGTCACTATATAATAATAGAAGTTAAGAGCAAGGTGGACTTACGGGTGGATTTATGCCCTTGAATAAGCACCGCTAAATCTTGCAGAGAACACCACGTCGACTGAAAAGACGCAGTCAGGGAGAACAATCGTCCTTGAAATGTTATGGTCTTTCAGTGCCTACCATGCTCAACGCGGCAGGTCCAGGAACTTGAGGCTTACTTACACAAGGATTACACGATGCTCAGTTCATGATGCCCGGAATCGAATTAGTCCTCAGAGGCCAAGATGGAAGAGAAGGCGTGCAAGAGCATAATATTTCGGCAGGGCAAACTTGGGGCAAACGCCCAAGGTGCAAGCATGACGTTGAACAGTGCGGCACAGGAATGCGAGGACACGGTGGCTGGAAAAAGTTTGTCGGGATCGATGGGTAATAAGAAGAATTTATCGTGACTTAGTACACATGGTGAGATGGCCGAGCGGTCTAAGGCGCCAGACTAAGGATCAGGACATTACGTGTCCATCATTTGTGTATTACTATGCAATCTGGTCCTCCGGGGCGTGGGTTCGAATCCCACTCTCATCACATCGTTTTGACTTTTTAAAAATTTCTACGAAGTCGAAGTCATTTGCTAAGTGTTCTCCTTGTAGCCTTAAACCGCTTCAGGTCTTGATCATGACGTCGACCACTCCAAGTTTTTCATCTTCGTACCGCTGAATGGATATCTACTCGATGATCAATCGCCTTCAACTTGAAAGTACCGTTCGACCCCGGCCCTCTCGCTATCGCGAGCGCCAATGCCACCGTCAACACACGGCCCGTGCACGTTGTAGCCTGCATGCGCGTGGCCTTTAGCGTCGTTGACAATGCGATCGAACGCCGGTGATTATGATGATGATGCAGCAAGCTCAAGACTCGAAGCGCCGTCAGGCAGTGGACTTTGAATAATATGCACAGAGTGCATGGTGTCCTCAGGTTGTTCACGGATGACGTCCGATAGGCGCCGGAGGTCCTCGGTAGAGTACCCGTCGGAGAAGACGAGGGTGGTGTGGTGTAAGGGGGAGAGGAGCGAGAATATGCTGAGGGGTTTCTCGGCGCTCTATCGCCCAGACGCGCGGCGCTCTCGTGTCCTTATTGTAGCCAATGCCTTCCACCTTCACCTCTGTATTTTCGATGGCATCCAGTTCCTCCAACTCACCGTAGACTATAGAGCTGCCTCGGAAGGTAACGCCCAGCTGAGACATGTCCGCCCTGATCTTCAGTTCGCTTTCCGTGCGCGCCAGAGCAGCGTTGGAGACGTGGTTTAGGAGTTCGGTCGTTTTGTTGAGCATCTGTGCGATGACAGGAAGGCGCTCCTCCCCGTAGGTGTCCAGCAGGGCGGTGGGGGCATAACCTTTGTGCACCAGGGCCAGCTTCCAGCCTAGGTTGAACTGGGTAAAGTTACAATATTAGCACCTCAACCTTGCAGCAGGTTGAGGAATAAATTTGTTACTGACCGAATCTTGAATGCTAGAATTTAGATCTTATAATTTATTTAAAATGAAAGCAGTGATCAGAAAGTCGATGAAAAGATAAAGGACGAAGTATCTACCTGACTTCTGGTGGGACTATGGCAGCATCTGTAAGTACGCCCAAGTCAGAACGCTGTTGCAAGATGAATTTATCGCGCACATAACACGCCCCTCCTGCTATAAACACCCTGCCCACTCCGAGTTGTTTCACCATTCGAATGTTCGGCCTGGATAACAGGCCATGAGCATCGACACGGTTCAAAGTTTTCAATGGGGTATAGCGCGCCATTCTACTTTAACTTAAAGTATCTCGACACCCATATAACCTCCAACTTTCAAGACGATATCGCGCCTTCTTGAGCTCGCGTAGAATTCGTCGAGCACTGACTGGGGGCTGTGAAGCGGCTTCTGGGCGTCGACGTCCTGCCCTGCGATCAGGAAATTGGTGACGTCGGCGTCCTGGCCCGAGGAGCGCTATAGGGAAAGAATCGAATTTCTTAGTTGATGAGAATGAGCATGCAATTGAAGTTTATTGAGCAAACATTTTCGATAGCGGGTCTCCCCAGCGTTCCCAGTACTGTATGTAAGAAGGAAGTCAGCGACTCAGCGTTAGACGCGGAGAGGGTTACAAATTGCACAGACCTCTCGTGGCTCGCCTTTTAGCCTGATATTACCGATGACCATGCCGTGTTCCTCACGCGTCTCGCCGAGGAACTCCAGTCCAAGCGTCTTACGCACGACGCTGTGCGAGCTGTCCGTGCCCACTAGCCACGGTACCTCCGCGTGATCGACGCCCACCTCTTTCCCGTCGACATGACGGATGATCTCAGCTGCGACGCCGTCGGCGGACTGCATGAACGAGCGCAGCTCGGATCCGAATTCCACCTGGCCAGCTTGGCCAGATATGAGCGGAGGATGCGTTCGTGGTGGTTCTGGCCTAGCATGATCGGGTTCGCCTGAAAAAATAAATGAGATCTCATTTACACTAGGTATATAGAGGACGGACGAAATGGATAGACGTAGGGTATCCCGCTCGTTGGCTGTTGGATGGGTATCATAGTAGGAAATGCCTTGAGAGGGTCGTGCCCGTCCACCGAGTCGTATTCCCGCATCAGCGGAATCGCTTTTCCTGCAACGCTGACGTTAGTCTCTTGAAACAGACCAATATAACAAATGCGCTGACTCCGTCGTGGAAAGAGGATCTACTTCTTGTTGAATCGCGGAGCCGGTGTATCAGTCACATTTGACGAGTTTAGAATTTCCCGAAATACACGAAGGAAAAGACACCTCGTCATCGCGTAAACCTGTGCATGTGATAAATATAACTGTCAAGACCCCCCGGGATACCGGAGATCAATTGTTCTGATTGTTTTCGTTCTCACTCACTGTCAATAAATGTCATTTCTAACAATAATTACCAAGTCTCCTGATAGTGATAAGGTCATCTTCCCGCCCTAGGCCCCATCACGTCCGCATCGGGAAGGTGGTGCCTTCGGCGGCATGCCTATCCCATGCTAAATACGGACGCGGCCCGCGCTCAACGGGCGGGAGCCGCATCCGTATTTGGCATTGGATGGCCGAATTCAAGGCACCACGTTGATAACCGTGTCTTATCACATGACCTTGCCGCTATCGGGAAGTCACTTAGTAATTATTATTAGGTGAGGGGAGGAATTAAGCGACATTTATTGACAGTGAGTGGGAATCAAAACAATCAGAACAAGCGATCTTGGGAAAAAATTGAACACAGAGACAGAAAAACTGCAAAAATTATACATATTGGTCCTACTACCGCCTACACACCGCCTACTTACAATTAAGCGACATTTAATTAGACTTAAAGCACTTGACTACACGAAACCGCCCGAAGTGTCACATGGTGTGATTCAAGCTTCATGTAGATCTGAAACCTGATAACAGCCCCCGGCGCCTATTCTGTTGTTCGCTTTTCATACCCTTCTCGACTTGTGCTCACCATGGCCCACCCGAATCCTGAGCCACCCTCTATGGAGGATCTCCTATACATGCTAAACCATGTTTTTCTACCCCCAAAGCTACCCCAAGAAGATGATACCATGGCACACCGCGACGTCGCTCTTTGTGGCTTTGCGTATAATGCCTCCCGTGAATTCGTTAGATTTCTGTCACAAAGTCAGCAGCAACAATGGTCTAGCATAAGCAAGATGCTCAAGACACTGCTCGAGACTACTCGAGACCTCGACAAAGATGTACTCGTCAAGGATATATTGCGCCTCGGGGACGGAGGTCAGTTTTACTGAGGTGTATGACGTTCTGCGTAGCTCACTCATCGTCCATCCTTATCCAGAAGTTCTTGTGTTTCACATCCACGCTCAAAATGCTGCTCTTATTCTACGCAGGCTCCGAGATACTATGATTTTTGAAGCCTTCGAGGTTTCACCAACTCCCGAGGCCATCATGGGCGCTGAGGGGAAGCTCATTTGCTCGTATCCCGGCCCCGCTGTGGAAATTCCCCTCTATGTCGCCCGTGATCTCTCATTCGTTGAACAGCTTGTTTCCTTCCTCGTTCATATGGACGTCGATCGGTTGGATGCAGAAGCGATGACAACCAAAGCCGGATCCAAAGTCCCCGAAACACGAGGCACGACCCACCCACGATATATCACCCAGCTCCTCATTATGATACTTTACGGGATGGGGAAGGAAGCCAAAGTCAACCGTATCACGAAGCGCATTGCGGATGACGTTTGTTGGGACAATGCTAGAAACCCTTGGCGGAGGTCGTCACTTTGGCTTGTGCTCCGCGTAGCCATCCAAACAACCGCCAACTCCCGTGAGACCTACAAGGCATTCATGGTGTTCTTGCAGGTTGAACTTCTCCGACTGTTTCTCGACCACGATCTTCCCAGCGAGCTACTCCACGCCGCTAGGGTCAAGACAAGCAGGCGGGTTCATAAGCTCGGCGCCTCTGCATCTCCACGCCTCTTGCAAGAGGTAAAGGCCGTCAGTCGAGCGATAGAGCAGCGTCTTCAAGCGAGATGGTCCGAAGAGCAGCGTCTACAAGCTGTGTCTCCATCCTATACCCCACATTCCCCTGCCATCCAAAAGGACACTACGATCACTCTCCTTGAATCCCGCGCCTATCTCATGAAAATCATGCAACCCGATCCTCACGCGCACACCTTCATTGCGTTCCATCCGTCCCACTTCCCTCGTCTTCGCGACACTGATAATTTTGATCATTTCTATGGCGAGGGGTTGACCAAAGCTGCTCAAGCTGACCCTTACGTTGCCCTAGCCGACTTCGAATTTCTTGTTCAGGAACGATTGGATGGTTGGGTTATGGAAAACAGTCAATATGAGTCTGCATGCACGACATTGGAATCTTGCTTTGAACAGTATATCTCCGCCGCCAAAACGCACTACTCATCCAACCCAGAGGCCGAGTCACTCATGATTTTGACGATCATGGAGCTCTGGGTCGCGCTTGATACCGTTGCCGTCATCCACTGTCCACTTCTTTTGTCCTACTCTCCTGAGATTCCAGCCTCGGTTTTGGATCCCCTCCTCCTTCGCCGAGCGAAATCCATCGAACGCGCTGCCCGAATACAACTCTACCTACGCCGCCGATACTCTAATGCCACCATTGCAACCTCCATATACTCTGATCAGCTGGACGATACTACTTTCGCCGTGCGTTATTTTCGAGAGTCGCCTTCCCTGCGGGCCGTCAAAGCCTCTATTGAGCGGGCTGCGGCGGATATCCGTGAAAAAAAGCGCGTAGAACTCCAGCAAATGAACGCGAGCCATGTGTCGCTAACCGAGCAGATTGCCGGACTTAGCTGCCAATACTACGAAGTCCGCGGATGGTCCAGACATTCCAATTCATGCTCCAAGTGCGAGCTCCAGAAGAATGCTGATCGCCTGCGTATCTCCGTTCACGAGTGGCCCCTGCCGACTCATCCTCTGGAGTCTGAAGCCATAATCTTTGAGCTCAAATGTCCTCCGGTATTCGCCATCTGGAGGACGCGGACATACCAGATCCTTCGCGACATAAGCATGGCTCACGTCAGCGCTCAGTCAAAGTTCACTCCT